AACAACTCTAAATACTATATGTAAACAAAACACCGCGTCCTCGCCTTTCCTTCTTTTCTCTATAATTGCCTTTTACTTTACCAATTTACCCATTAATATGGTTTAAGAAATTAATGAAATGGAACAAAAACATAACAATTATGATTCTTTTCAATAACCTTTTCGCCTAAGAATCAAATAATGATGAAGTGAAAACATGTAGATGAAGCAAAGTAAACTGAGGGAAAAAAAAAAAAAAGGCACCCCTTTGTAGAGGATTACGGAGTTTTCTTTAGGTTAAAGAAATGAGTATTTAGTACATTTTTATCATTAAAACAATACATGTAGAAAAATATAATATAATACATTCGTTCAAACATCAGTAAAATACACTTTTAAGTGTTATTGCTACATAAAATAAAACGCTTACATAAACAGCTTGAATATTCATATTACTATGCGTGTATTTGCTTATACGTTGAAAACGTGAAAAATCACGTTAACGTAGAAGTTATTACTAATAGCTTCTACGTTGAACGTGGTTTTCCACGTTTTCAACGTATAAGCAAACACACGCTATATTATTTTAAACTTATGTTGACGATGTCAACAATGCAAATCATATTATTACTTTATGTGATATTTTAAAATTATACATAATATCTTCATTTTTTATTATAATATCTCTTATAAGAGTATATTCTATGATGTGATTTTTAATAATAAAATTATTATGATAGTATATTTTAAATAATCAAAGAGATTACTGTATGAATTAAAAAGACAACAAATATCATGGGTAACTTCAAAATATTTGATGAACCAATTTGCAAGTTGTAATTAGGGATGATAAATATACTCGTACTCGCGAGAATACTTGAATTCGTCCTGACTTTGACAGAAAATACTTGGTTTAACAGGATACGGATATGGGTAAAACCCGATATATTAAATCGGATACGGGTATATACTTATTCGTCCCGTACCCGTTCGTTATTTCTATTTTTAATTTAATATCTACTTTCAATTTAATTATATTAAAAAAATTAATATTTTTTATGTGTGATTATTTATTATAGTATAAGATAGATAAATAACTTAATTATAATTATAATATAATAAAAAATAATTTAAAAATATTAATTTTTTTACAAAAATAAAAAATTAACAAGTACAGATACAGATACCCAATACTCGATACCCGACAGATACAAAAATAGGGACGAGAATGAGTTTGCCTCACAAAAACGGGAATAGATATCATGAAACCTGTATCCACCCCGGCCCGTTGCCATCCTTAAACTTGAGGTTGATTTAATAGTACTGTTCTTATCTGTTAAAATAATTTTTCTATTTTTGTTTTATTTTTTGAATTTGACTATTAGCACGGAATATTGAGACGACTTATTATCCAATTAAATATTAAAAGCTTTTCGTAACAATCTGCACGTTATTTTTTTATTTATAAAAAAACACTATGCAGGTTATTTTTGTACATATAAAAAAGATATATATGCACGTTACGGGAATAGGAAACTACCATCCTTGTGGTTTCTGAAATTTTGAACCATTCCTTCTTTCTTACTATTGATTTTGACTTTGTAACGTGATACTATGCTTATCTGCAAATTTAATTGCGGACAAGTGCATCATTTATTTTAATTAGAAAATAAAAATCAAACGTCACTTTATTGAAAATTTATTTTTTAACATCCCAAATTTGTTATTATTTGACTTATAAATTAAAATAAAATGATAGGTTTTTATTAAATTAAAATGAGAATTCTATAACAACTAGTCTATACAATTATAT